TAATGAATTTTTCGATTAATATCGAGTAGGAGAGCATTTCAATATCACAGAAATCTTGATCAAGTTAAATTGTGCACAAAATATTGGTTGCAAAGTCTTCCGACAATTTATTATTAATATTTCCAAGTTCCAATATTGATTTGCCTTCTGACCTTATCGAATACGTAATCTCTAGATTTTAAATCGTTTGCAAAATCATGATTCTTTTTCAAGATCAAAATCAAATTCTTTGAATAAATTTTATTATAATATTTTATTAAAAATTCGATCGTACTTTATTATTTTTAATTTAATTTTTTCTAAAAAATTTATCAAATTTTGCAACTATTTTGAAATTTAAACAGATGATAATATTTTTCCATTTTTTTTTTCTTCAATTATAAAGATTTCTTACCATTTGAAAAATTGTAAATTTCATCAATTGAAAAATAAAAATCCAATCATTGTTTTTAGATTGAAAATGATTATCGATAAAAAAAGATTTAAAATCGAACCGTAATTAAAACTGCCTTTGGCATTAATTATTAAAATATTATAGATCATTTTATGCGAATTTCGATCGTCTTTATAAAAAATATTTGTATAGTAAATTTATTTTGTATTTCAAGGTGGTCGTACGTGAGAGTAATAATCAAATAACATTGGAGTATGATAGTTGCATGATAGTAAAAGTGAATTATTTTTTGCATGTATAAGTAGGCAGAAGGGAGAGAAGAGGGTAAGTAATGGCATAACAGAAAAAGATGCAACGACAACAGAGTTGTCGTCATTATTATTATATGAATAAACATCACGACGATGTCTTTGATGTTGTGGTTGAAATGTGTAACAATGCTTCGAATGTGGGTCCTTATAGGTGTTCTCATGGCGGACGCTCGCACTGGAAGTACGACATGCAGCCAGACAAACTTGAAAGCGATCTAAATTACGAAGACGCTTTTTCACCACATCTTGGTCTCTGTGAGATTTATGATTGTCTCTAAGTAAACCTAATAGTACATCTTTTCTTCCCTTTATTTGCTGTTAATAACAAATTTTCATTAATATTTTTGTTATATGATTTAAAAAAAAAGAAAATAAAAAAAAAACGAAAAACTACCTTGCCAGGATGTAGGCAGCAGGAAACACAATATTCATAGATAGCACAACATCCTTGAGCGTTACATGTTTTACAACTATACCTCTCTCTCCTAGATGTAGTTGATGTATCCTCATTTTTTATAGGATCCTTTTGTTCCATACTACAACAGCCATTTGGCAAAATTTCTTGTCTAGAGCATACAATACCACGCTCATCTACTATTAGAACTTTACCCTATTAGGATAACAAAAATTTGATAAAATCATTTTCATTCAATTTAATATTTCTTTCCATCATCTTAGAATTTGATATACCTGAATAGAATTACGACAAGGACGAACAATATCAGTATCATTTAAATTTGACATTGCTTCTATGTTTAATGCATTCTCATTTGCTCCTTGATCAACAATTGCCATCTGCCACAGTGGTGGTTTACCAGATGCTTTCAATTGTTCCGATATTGTATCATCATCAGAGATCAAGTCATCATTGTTGTCATTAATTATCATAGAATCCATATCATCAAGATCATTATCCAAAGCTAATGTCTTTCTCTAGGGATCAGATAATATTCTGTTCTAAATTTCAAATTAAAATTCACGTATTTGATCATGCAAACTTTCCTTTATTTATATGTAATATATAATTTTTTCAACATTATTTTTATTTGTTTACCTCATTACGAAAGAGTGAAAAGGCACAATAAGTAAGTGATAAAGCAAAGATGAGTCCAAGTACAAGACGCCGTCTAATAATTCTGAATAGACTGCCACAACTCGGCATTCTTCTCACTTTTTGCAATTTATTCTTATGCTTTCATTCGACATTAAATTTCCAGTTTCTTATTCCAGTTCATGATCGCAACACGACTGAGAGCATAAAATTATTTTGTTAAATTTATTTTGTTATTTATTTTTTTAAAAATATTTATAATAAATTATTAATATTAAATATTTATAAATTTATTTATTTTTTTAAAAATTCTACTGATGATTTAAAGTACATTTAGTAATCGCACGGAAAATATTAAATTTTAATATAAATTAAAATTTATTTTCAGTAAAATTTATATGTGAAAAACATAAAAAAGAAAAAGAATAAAAGATACAGAGAGAGAGAGAGAGGTTATGTTGTTTTTCTTACAATCACATTGAAAACATTTTTTGAAGCGCTTACCAATCTTCGAGCGCGAATAGTTTAATTGTTATGACATGAATTCCTTATCGGTCAATTATATAATCAACAAGACAGACCGATATATTTCGTTATAAAATTTATCAGATTTTTCTCACCGAATTTACAAGCAATGCTACAAGTGCATTGGCCTGTTCAATATGGTTGAACAGCAATAAAGTTTATCACATATCACATTAGATGTCACTACTTATTGAATTAACAATTTAATATCGACATATATTTCATAATTAATAAATATTTAAAAAAAAACTATTTTATTAAAATATTACAAAAAATATTTATATATCTATAAAAATTTATATATTTATTTGTCTATATAAAAATATTTATATATATATCTATAAAATTTATATATTTGTTTGTCTATATAAAAATATTTCATTATATAATTTTTTATTATATAATAGATAATATAATGAATATATAATGAATATATGTACATAAATAGTTACAATAAATAAAAGAATCACATAAATGAAGTAATATTTAAAAAGAAAAATATTAATTAGATTTAATCTTAAGATTTTTCTTTTTTTTTTTGAGATTAATTTTAATTTTGAGATTAGTTTTGAGATTAATAAAAAGAATATTGTCATGATAAAAAAATAATTCATAATTTGTAATAAAATTTATTTTTATTATATTTAAATGGTTTCAACAATATAATTAGTACAATTTGAAAAATAGAGTTATAAAAAAATATTATCTTGATTTACACACAATAAATTCTAAAAAATGCAGATTTTTATATGTATAAGGATAATTTTATAAATATAAGGATTTGTTAATCCTTAGAATTTATAAAAACAGACATAATGAAAATATTCCTTCCTTATATTTATAAAATAATATATAAATAATAATTAATATAAAACTTTTCATAATTATTTCCAATATAAATTAATACGTATTCCTTATACATATATGAACCAATGACCAATGATTTCTTATTTAAGAATGGCATCGTTCAATCAATCAAAAAAAAACAGTATTATTCCGTTGCAGCAAAATCAGGCAGGCTGGTTAACGTATAATCCTTAAAACAATTGAAATTAGTTATTTTATATAATAAATGTTTTCATATATAAGATATGTAATAACAAAAATAATATACATATCGCAAATAAAAATTATATATAATGAATTTTAGTGTGTTACAGTGGATAGTATCATTAACAATTTTATGTATAGTTTTAAGCGTCATTATTTTTTCTGTTGTTCAAATTGGCAAGCGAGATCACGAATTAATAAAAACTACTATTACAACGACTACTACAACAACGACACGTAGACCGCGACCAACTAGACCACGTAGAACTACGTGTTGTGAATAATTTTTTATTTCATGTTTAAATATAATTAATAATATTAAAAATTGATTAGAATGAATAATATAATAAAATAATGTGTTAAGTAAAAATTATAATCTACAATATTATATTATTATATATGCTACAATATTATTTTTATTATTACAATATATACAAGTTAAATATAACAAGTTTATTTATAAAAGTAATTAAATTTCAGAAATATTTCATTTTTTGTCGATTTAATAACAATATTTAATAATATTATTTATTTTTCAGATTATTCATCTATCAATGAGGATATATTGACTAACAACAAGTTTATTTATGAAATTAAATTATAAAGATATTTCATCCTTACTAGTATTATGTTTGAACAAATACTTACATTATTTATTGTAATACTAGTAGTATATCATCTTATAAGGATGCAATTTAATCAAGTAAACAATGATGATTAATTTTATGTGATATAAATAATAAAAAAGTTTAAACTATATAATTTTTAATTCTTCTTTTTTTAATGACTTTTACTTTTAATTTCAAAATTTTTAATTAATTATTTCTAATATTATTATTTTATTAATATTATCGATTAAAGGCGTACGATAAATTTAATTGCAAAAAAACAACTTGTTAAAATTATTATTAACGAATTAATAATAACTTATAAAAATTTATGCAAATATTGAATCTTTTCAAAACGAATTTTTCAAAACTTTTTAACATGTAATGTTTCCAGATACGAGTGAATTGTTTTATATATAATTTTATGTATAATTCATTTTAGATATAAGTAGAATTATTATTTTTCATTTTCTAACATATGATCATTTTTAAATGTAAAGTTTAAATATAAACAAAAATATTTAAAAATATGCAAAAATGTTATAAAATATTTAAAAAATTTCAGTTTCAATAATTTAATTATTTATTCCAAAAATTTATATTTATTAATATTACACAATACTATACAAAGTAACTTCAATTCTTATTTCTCTAATTAAAATCACTAAAAAAAAATTTATAAAAATAAAATATTTAAATTAGTAATTTAAATATTAGAAGGATCGTAGTGTGATTTTAACACGATGATATTTTGATGTGCTGTTATATATAATCTTTCATATTTTTTAATTTTCAATTTTTAAGAAGAAAATTTCTTTTAATTTTTAAAGGAAAAAATTTTAGACTGATATGAAATAGATAAATAAAATTTTCAAAACTTACTTTTTTTACAATTTTCCAAAAGAGTTGTTAAAGGTTAGATATCCATTTTTCCAAACAGTGAGAAATATTTCAAAAGATTTTAATATAACGTATTAAATTTGTAATATTTTGAAGAATTCATATAAACGAACATATAATAAGCATAATCAAATATTATTATTAAACGGAAATGTGAAATATCTATCTAGTAAGCAGTTTTAGATAAACGATAACGTGTAGAAAATGCACGGATATTTATTTCTTTATATTTCAGTTTGGGATTTCAGTGACTAACGTGACCAATTAGAAGCTAGAATTCAAGTAATACTTGCATCCCCACCAAATGTAAGGGCTTCAGCACTTAACAAACTAGTCAGTATACAATAAGACTCGAAGAGTAGTATGTCAGGTATTTTTTGTAACACGTCTGAAAATATAGTTCAACGTGATAAAATATACCATAACGTGGACATCAGGATAAGAAAAACATGCCTCAATTGCAAGTTCAGTAATTCAAAACAGACATGCTTTGGTTACAACTTAAATAATCCGAATAAAAGGATCGTAGTGTGGTTGAAATACACTTTATCATGGATTCAAAGAAAAGTTCCACTGCAAGTGTTATATTGTAGAAGATACAGATATGTTTCATGCAAGGTATTCCTTTTAATTGAGAAACTATTAAAATAGATTTGAAAATCTGAGATTTTTTAAATACATTAAATGTACTTTTGTGTACTATACATATACTTTACTATATATATAGTGAAATATATTTGACAGAATAATGTGAATAATTTGTATCGATAAAAAATTCAAAATTTTTAGAAGATTGTTAAAGAAAGATTATTTTATTTTTGTAATATGTAATAATTTTGTAATAATAATAAAATCAGTAAGATTTTTCTAAGATTAAATATATGATTAGCATAGTGATCATTTATAATCGATATTTATTTTTTCTATGGATCCATTGTAATAATCCGTGATTGATCATTAAATTTTTTAAATTAATTACATGAATACAATTGATTTATTTAAAATAGAATAGAAGTTGAACTTGTAACCGTGTTTAACCGTGAATTCGTTACTTTCTTGTTTTGTGAAATGCAATTTACTTATTTATATTAGATATGAATGATATAATGAATAATATCGTTATAAACATACAATACAATTCGACATTTTTAGAAACATGAACCTGTCATCGCAATAGGATCATAACGATAAAAAATGCTTGTCTGCATCATTTGAGTAATGTATTTGATTAAAAAAGTTGATTTCAATCAAACATTTTCATTTTTAAAATAAAAAATTTCAATATATTATAATTATAATTAGTAATATATTATAAAAATTACAAATAGTAATGTGACAATTGTGAATTATTAATTACAAAATAGCAAAAGAAAAAATTGAAAAATATATGTGCGAATTTTTATTATTTTTTTTATTTAGTAAATTTTTATATAAAATTCTCATACAATTTACATAACAAACATTTTTTTTGTTTTATTTTTGTTAATATCATTATTTAAGAAAAGATATAAATTGAGAAATAAAAGCAAGTAAATAGTGCTACAAATGTCGAACAAATATTTACATACTGAAATGATATTATTTGGTTTACTAATATAAATATTATGATTCTACTTCAAACATGATTATATAAAAAATTTTTGTTCTTCAGCATATAATTCTCTTCAGCAAATAATGATTATATCTTAACAATTGATATTTTTTTATGTAGATTTTTTCTTATTCAATTACAATTGATATTTTTTTATGTAGATTTTTTCTTATTCAATTACATCTTATTCAATTTCTATTACTATCTTAAATAGTATCTTATTATCTTACTATTTGATATTTCAAAATTAGATTAATATAATTTTTTAATTATATATTATAAATTAAAAATATATAAAAATTTGCAATTATTTATTTAATTAATTTATTTCAAATGTATTAATTTATCTTTTATTGCTGATGAAATACTTATATTTTTTGTTATGAACTAAACAACTAAATAGTTATTTAAATTCTTTAATTATTTATAATGAAAAGTATAATAATTTATATTTTTAATTTAAACTTGAAAAAATTTGAAAATTCATTTTCTTTTTGCAAAGAATCATTTTTAACTTGTTTTTTTAATGTTATAGAAATTATTAGATAAGTTGTTACATAAATGATACTGCTTATAATAGTATTTTAATTTACTTTCATGTATTCATTTTAAATTTTAATTATATTTTTACTAATTATCTATTAGAAAATACTATCAATTTTAATCTTGAAATACGTTAATCAAGATTAACATTTTATACAACTTTTTTTTTATATATGTAATTGCTTCTCAATTTTAATTTTTGAGATACAAAAATTTTTAAATATTATATTATTAAATTCTATCTATATATGCGCGGATGTGAAAATATATTAGTATGCGATAATTTTTTATCATACTGTATATGCATTCTTTTACGTTGTTTATGTTAAAAATGAAACAGAATCTTCGTCTTAGGTCATCTCTTAATTAAATTAATGTTAGTTAGATAAGAATGCAATTATGATGAGTTCGCTGTTTATATTAGCCAGAATCGAATAAAAAAATTTGATAACTTATTGTATATGCATTCATTTTATATTCTTAATATTAATATAATTTTTATAACATATAAAAATGATTGTATTTATGTATTGTTACCAAATATATAGACAAAAAATTCAATATATAGAACCAAAAGTTTTTTTGTAAGTATATCATAAAGTAAAACTAATTACATATAGTATAATAAATAAATATTCATAATATTAATGACAATATGAACTTCACCAAAATTAGTGATATATTATCTAATTTAGATAATTATATAATTATCTAATTTTTTTTGTTATTTAACAATTTTAGTTGCAAAATTTTTTTCGATATTTTAAACTGCAATTATATTCATATCTCAATAAATCTTTTGAATCTTTAAATGATGTCTCATAATTTTAGATATTTATGTTCATATTTAAAAATATGGCATGTTATATTTATCCTAACGAATCATAACGTGAAATATTTTATATGTTTGTGATATTTTCATTGAAAATAATTGTAATTAAAAATTTTATAATAAAAAGTTATATATATTTTTTTTTATTAAAGAAATTGTAAAAATTATTTTCCAAAATAAACATTTGGTTTAAAAATATAGCGACACAAGTATATATAATAATTACATATTTTTGTATGAATTTTTTATATTTTTTGTATGATAATTTTTTATCATAAAATAAAATTTCACAAATAAAATATTTTAATAATATATTGTAAACTATACATATTGTTTATATTGGAAAACTTAATTTAAAGATAATGATTATTAATATAATTAATATGATGATGTGATTATTATAGTCATTTTCATCATATTTTATATGTTAACGTTTTCAATAAAAAGATATATTTTTATCTTTTTATTTTACTTCTATGAATTATGTCAAATTTCGAAATCATCTATCTTCAAATGTAATGTGATACTCATGATGATGAATTATTCTTTCAAAACAAACATTATATTTTGTCACTATTGCTTTTCTAAGTTGATTTTTTAAAAAATATGAACTATAAATTATCCTACAAATTTTTACACAATTGTTGAATTTATTTCTTTTTGATAAGAATTTATGAATATTTTTTTACATATTTTGCTGATTTATAAAGAATTATAATTCACAAACTTTATTTTAAATAATTTAAAAATGATGCACAAAGCTATTGATTAGATTAAAATTGATAGCACATTGATTGTAACAGTAATTTAAATAATTATAATAGATCTCGAATAAATATTAAGATTTAAGATTTAAAAATTAGAAAAGTAGAAAAGATAAATAAATTTGAGAAGTATTATGCTATTGTTAGTATATAAAGATGACGTGATGTTAAATAATTGGATATAACGCATGTATTAAAATTATAATATTTATTATATATTGTTTTATTTAAAAGAAAACAAGAATAACTTGTTATTATATTATATTATAAAATTTAATAGTAATATAAGAGTTAAGTAAGAGTTACTTTTAAGCAATAATTTAAACTGAATTTCATAATTTAAAATAAGCAAATAGATATAAGAAAATGAACGTATTTCTTTTATCTTGCTATTTTGTCTATATATGAATTATATAATGATATATATATATGATGATATATAATTTATTCAAATTATTATTATGGAATATTAAATATAAAATCGATCAAACATCAAGATCTATAATATATTTATATGTTTGAATAAGAAATAAAAGATAAACTTAAAATTTCAGTGTGCTTGAGCTTTGTCTAATACTTACTTGTATATTCCTTGTTATCGAAGTTCTGTAGATTGAATATTATTAATTTAATTTCATTAATTAATTCTTAAAGTTATTTTATATGATTTTCTTTATTTCATTTTTACAAATTTCTAATATGTATTCGATATATTAAAAGATAATTGATTGTATTAGACTAATTCATATCTTTTTTAACAGTTATGTTTATATTGGAAAATATGGATGAGATATGTATCCTGGGTCCTGAAATTGGAAGAAAGAAAAAACGATTGATAAGGAAACTTCGATAAGAATTTCAGAAAAGTTTTCGGTAAGCGAATAATTTCGAAAAAAAAATTTAATTAAATTTTGATTAAATTTGATTTTGGAAATGATTTTTTTAGCGAGTAATCTTTCATAATCAGCAAATATAAAAAAAAAATAGATTAAAAAAAAATAAAGTTCCAAAGATCATGAGACCAAAACATTCTAGATGAGTTCAATTTCTATTAAAAAATACAATTCTAATGGAATTAGAATTTTAATTTCATGAAAAGAATATAATATTTTAATAAATTATTATTTAATGAAGCAATATTGCTCTCTTCCTATAAAGATTAAAAATAAGAAATTAATTGATAATAATTAAATTGATAATTATGATTGTTAAAAATAGTATTAATTATAATATTAATCGAAATAATTAATATTGTAATTAATCACTTGCTTGTTAAAAAGTCATTCAATGATCACATATCTATGTATCAAATCTTCGTAAGAAGCAAAATCAAACTATATATTCTGCTATATCAATTGTTTTTCTTAGATTACCGAATCAGTTTCGTATTATGCATGATAAACAGTTGGCATTAATTTTAAGTACTCTATTACATTAATTGCATCGTTAGCTTAACCAAGCAATTCGATAATTAAAAACAACTTGACTAAATAATTTAAAGTTGTTTTTTTTTATTTTGCTTTATTATTTTTTCTTACAACAATAATTATTATCCTTTGCAATATTATTTCTATAATTTAATACATTTATATTTTTATTTTCTGAAGATAAGCAATATCTCAAAGTAGAATCTGTTCTCAAAATTATTTTTGCGGAATAAATTTTTACTTTTCTTTTTTGACAAAAGTTTAGAAAATCTTGATAATTTTTTAAATTCCTTGTAATTCCTATTATTTTCAAAGATTTTTTTCAAAAGATTAATTTCCAAAAATTTTCTTTATTTTTTACTTTTAAAAATTATTACATATCTATTATACGTAACTATACATATTCGTTGTTTCCATTGCATATATGATGTATATAGAATGATTAATTACGTATTTTGCTTATACATTTAATTATAGTGTTTATTAACTTCATATTTCGATGCAATGTCACAATCTTTGACATAGAATTGTGTATTACCTTATATATTATCCCATTTATTACCAATCATCAAGTACAGTCAATGATTTATGTTATGATATTAACGTTATCTTCTGTAAATGACCAAAGTTCGAGAAGTACTTGAACAGAGAAGCACGAAAGAAATCTATTGGTGTAAAGTAGATAAAATTTCTGTTCGATTAAGTTCGTCATAATGATTACGCAGTGTCTTTGTATAAATAGAAGAGAGAGCTCTTAGGATTCAGTATAAATTGAATTTCTGAATAAATGTGATGAATTCAAAGCAAAAGTGTAAAATATTATTTATTATTGAGAAGTTTTTTATTAATTATTTATAATTATTAATTGTTATTAATTGATATATACTTAAATGCTATTGTACATTTACAAAAAGAAAAAAAAATACAAAAAAAATAAATTTACAATTTTATACATAATATATATGTATAATATTTATACATAATGTATGAATGTATAAATACAGAATGTATAAAATACAGAATGTATGAAGATAAAAAAGTAAATTATATATTTACAGTGCAAAATGAAAAGTTAGGTAAGTTTATCGATTGCACAATGAATATAATCTTTAAAACTGCTCTAATTCCTTAGTAATTCCTTGTGTTAATATTATTTATCAAATCTCATTTTCTTATAGAATACACACATACACACGCACGCACACACACACACGCGCGCACACATGTGTGTGATATACACATACGATTGAAATATACACATATGATTGAATATTATTTTTATGACTATATATGCTTCAAAATTTAAAAAAATATATTTTCCATTTAGCAATTGTTTAAAAAATAATTCATTGATTTTATAAGTAAAATGTTCCGTCCAAATAAATCATTCTTTATCTCATTGAATATTTTCTCTTCTCAACTGTAAATTTCAAACAAAAGACGATTAGTGAAGAGGGGGTTGGTGAGTTTACATCAAAACCAATCATTTTCGCGGTAACGTACAGATAGACATGGTGATCGTGAAACAATCTTGATATTTTCTTTAGGTAGTTGAATTTGTCAGATCGTGTTGAATTTTTGGCTAATAAGCATAATATATTACATGTGTATTAAACAATATTCTCGTTTAAACTGATCAGCCAAGACAGCCGATACGTTTAATGCACAGGAGAACAACAAAGACGTGTCTGCTGCGGCGATGCCAGAAAACGCGCAAACGGAATCCGTTGTACCAATGATGTTCGACAACTTCGTGTTGAAACGGTGGCTTCGTTCCATCGGACCAGTTCGCCGTTCTGAAGTGTTAAAAAAGGTGCGATTCATTTTCATGATCGAGCTTTCTGGCAAACTAGAAACGGATTTTTGCGTTGTTTAATAAATGGCATTGTCTTGTATTACCATAGTGTCGTATTATGCCTAGGGGTATGGCGTCGTCCAAATGAAACAAATAAACGCGATGTAAACATCAATACGAGACGTTTGTCTTCTTTTTTTTATATCCTTCAAATTTTTTTTCTATACATTTTCAAAATAGAATTCCGTTGACGATGTTACGAGAATCTAACCATAAAAATCGGTGGCGATTGTTTCAGCTGAAAACGAATCTGGAAAATCTAGGCTTATCACGTAAACAGGTACACCGGGGGTTGATGCAATTAGCGACGAAACCACATGTGGTTCTTACACGCCAACCACTCTACAGGAAATGTGGGTAAGTTTGCAACTATTGACTAATCGGTAATAAGAATATTACTCTCTGTTGATTTTTGCTCAAGAATCGAAATATATTTTCATAAATTTTCTTCTAATTTTAAATGATTATTTTAAATAATTATTACGAATTGAATTATTCTTTATATTGATATGATACTAGATTTTTTGTCAAGAGACTGATTAATTATCTAAATATGTTCATTTATTCATAGTTGTTTGCATTGATATAAGATGTATGAATCATACATTTAACTAATTATTGGAAATAATCTGAAACATGTAATTTCAACGGAATCAAAATTATAATGCAATTAAGACATCTTAACATTATACAAATTCTATTACACATTCATTTTTTTAGTTATAATAACATTTTCGTTTTTTATTGATTATTTATATGAATTATGTATTTATTTTGTAAAGAATGCAATTATCTTATATCTTATATTATCTTATCTTATCTTATATCTTATATTATCTTATCTTATCTTATCTTATCTTCTTATCTTATACTATTTTATCTTATATTATATTTTATATTTTATTTTATATTTTATTGAAATATATGAACTATATTCATCAAACGAAAAATAAAAATATATTAAAATTTTTTATGGAATATAATATAAAAAATGAAAATGAAAAAAATGTATATGTTTGCGTAAATTTCTAAGTTATATTTATATTTTATAAATTATATATTATAATATTATATATTTTTTATACTTATAATTTATAAATAATATTTATTAAAATTATAAAGATCTTTTTTTAATTCATTTATAGAATCATAAATCAAAATGCAGTTTTTCTAACTGTCTTTATTTTTTTGTATATATTCATATATTTAAATATATATGTATGAATATAAAAGAAGTATAATGAATTGTAAAATGAATAGTTATATATAATATGCGTAATAAAGTCAGCTATTATGCGGTAATACATTTAACTTATTAAATCTCTTGGAATATTGAAAGCGCATAAAAAGCTTACTTTATTGTGTATTTTTTTTAATAACTAACAAATAACATCATTACTTAGGAAAAACACAATTGAACGAAATGAAAAATGTTCAAAACGAAATGTTATCAAATTTATATAGAATTTATATGAAAATAATATTGTCTCATATGAAAATGTAATATTTCATTAAACTTTTTACTCTATTGTAATTATAAATATTTAATGTACAAAATTGATATTTCGTAGAAACATAAGAAACATAAAAATTTTAATTAAAAAATAAAATTTTATAAAATGAGACAAATTGATTCATTTTTTTTATATATAGATTATAGATATATAGATTGAATCTCTTTATTATGTACGAATTCCGAATATTACAAATATTCTTGATCTTGAAATTTTTAAAAAATTAAAAAAAAAAAATAAAAATAATTAACAATTTAAATGTAAAATATATACATATATACGTAAAATAATAAATTATTGAAAAGAATTATTTTCAGAATTCGACAACAATATCGATTATTATATATAATTTTTTAAGTTCAAATCGATTTTATAATAAATTTTTATTTTGATATAATAATATAAAATATTATAAAACATGTTGATTTAAGTCTAAATCAATACTTTCATTATTTATGTTTCAGATTAAAAAATTTAGAAAATGAGAGAGAAAACAAAATTGTTGACAATTGTAGAATGATCGATGTACAAAAATTAAACAATATTGAATGGATTGTTGAACAAGGGGATAAACATATCAAAAAAACGAATAGCGTAAAAGTATATGAAGATTCATTAATAAAAAATAATCGAGAATTATTCATAGACGGTTGTAAAGTAGAAATTCCACTAACAACATTCCATTCCTTTGATAAGGCTTTAGAACAATTTGACAAACTTGTTTCTTCAAAAATGAACATGCACGAAAAGTTGTCTAATAGACGAGCTTCTGTTATTGTATCAACAGATTCTGTAATTAAATCACAAAACAACACATTTTCGAGTAAAAAATTTAATAAAAATGAAAATTACTTTACATATATTGAAAATAAAAATTCTCGAATACAAAAAATTACTAATTTAATATCTGATAAAATAGATAGAGTACCTGCTACTAAAAAAATTGATATAAAATTAAACTTAAAATCTTCTTCTGATAAAAAAGAAAATAATTGTGTAAAATCAGAGTCTTATAAAGTATTAAACACTTATTATATAAAATCGCATATTAATAAAAAATTATGTAATGATAAGAAGACTATGGATGTTAAAGTAAATAATATATCAAGCAAAAATAAATATTCGATAGATTATAAAATCGAAGAAAATGCAAAAAAAAGAACGGTTTATGAACCGGTAACCTCGGATTCTACACAACGAAAAAAGATTCGTACATCAATTGATGAACATAAAGAAATTAATAGAAAAAAGAGAAAAAAATTAAAAAATAAGTTTCGAGCATATTTCGGAGAATGTATAACTATTAGTGAAGATGAACAGGAACAAACTATTTTACAAAACAGATTTAAAAGAAAAAGAAAAAAAGATTCTGCTGATTCTAGTGATTCTGGTGTGTATATTGCTGATAAAAGTACGTCTTTACAAATTATAAAAGATATTCAAAAAACTATATCTAATTCAATAATTTGTGGAAAATTTAACGAAAATTTATCTGGAGAAACTATTATAAATGCTAATATAGACTATGAATCAAAAGTCATTGACAATGAAAGTACTAAAACTATTGATTCAATTGAAAATAAAAAAATATCAAAGATCAAACAAGATATATATGGAAAAATCATTGCAAATGCTAATATAAATAATGAATCAAAACAAGTTATTGATAAAGAAAGTATTAAAACTATTGATTCAATCGAAGATAGAAAAATATCAAAGATCAAGCAAGATGTATCTGGAAAAATCATTGCAAATGTCAATATAGATGAATTAAAAACAGTTATTAATAATGAAAGTATTAAAATTATTGATTCAATTGAAGATAAAAAAGAATTGAAAGTCAGGCAAGTCATATTTGCAGAAACCATTGCAAATGCCAATATAAGTAACAAATCAAAAGAAATTATTGATAACAAAAATATTAAAACTATTGATTTAGTTGAAGATAGAAAAGAATTAAAATTCAGACAAGATGTATTTACAGAAACTATTGCAAATATCAATATAGATAATGAATCAAAAAAAATTATTGATAATGAAAATATCAAAACTATTGATTCAGTTGAAAGTAAAAAAGGCTTAAAATCTGGACAAGATGTATTTGAAGAAACTATTAGAAATGTCAATACAACTAATGAATCAAAAGAAATTATTGACAATAAAAGTACTAAAACTATTGATTCAGTATTGAAGATCAAGCAAGATATGTCCGAATCAATACATCTTGCTATTGCAAATGTCAATATAAATAATGAATTAAAAGAAGTTTCTAGCAATGAAACTATTAATTCAATTGAAAGTCTAATAAATATGGAAATTGAAAACAATGAATTACAAATTATTCAAATAAAGAAAAACAATATATCTCAAGAAAAATTAATTAATACTGATAGAGATAATATTATACCAAACAAACATAGACTAAGTGTTATACAAAGCAATGATAGATCAAACATAGATATACCTCAAATAACTAAGGAAATAGAAAGTAATGCTTCTTTAAAAAAAGTAGAAATAAAAACTGGTAATACAACATTATCTTCTGATATTTTTTGTTCGACAAATGATACAATAAATATAATTGAAGATTTTTCAGAACTTCAAAATTGTAATTTAAATATAAAAGATTTTAATGATCTTCTTTATATGGATATTACTGAAACTTGTCAAATCACATCAAATGGAAATGTTCTTAGCATTCAAGAAACTATTGAAGAAGTTATGAATAAAAATATTGATGAAAATTCAAATTTAAATAATTTATCCGAAACACAAATAGATTGTAATCAAGATGTTAAAAAAACAATATCAAATTGTATTGAAGAAAATAACAATAAAGATTTAAATAAAATGCAATCTTCTAATACAAATACAAATGATAGAATTATTTCTATAAATAATATGTATAATGTACCAAAAAAGGAAAATGAATTACCAGTGGCAGAATTCAAATTAAATATTTTAGAAAAGAAAAACATTCAATCCAATAATCTATCTCAGGGTAGATTAAGAGTTTTATCAAGTGCAGAATTAGGTTCTAGATGGTGTCCTACACCTATAAACACTGTTATGTCTACTGTTTCTCAATTTTCACATTCTACTCCTCATTTCACAAATGCAACAACTTTTAATAAAGTTAATTTGGATAATACTATTGTTGTTTCAACATCAATGACTCAAATAGTACCTACAACAATATCTTCAATTACTACATCTGCACTTACAGCAATTAATGAAACAACAATTTCTGAAAATATGAGAAAAAATAATATAGATCACAAATTTTCAAAATCTATTTACTTTATTTTCGTGAACATACGTGACTTAATTCAAAAAAGACGAATGTGTTTAAATACTAATTTGAATGTTAATTATGATAAGTTATTATTTATAGAATTCGAAAAGCTAAAAAAAATATTGAATATAGAAGATTATATTGATTTAATTGATGGAGTTCTAATTATACTTAACAAAGAAATGTTAGTAATGCCATTATTGTCTTTAGGAGAATTATTTCATTATACGCCACTAATTGAATCTTTTTATATTCATTCATCAAATAAACGTAAAACTGTAAATAATTCTAGTGAATGTCAAATTATAACACCTGTAATTGTTTCAAATCAAATAACATCAAATCAAAATAGATATTCTAATCCACAAGTATCACAGAATGCATGTGTTACATCTATGCATTCTACATTACAACATGTATTTCCTGTTAATCAAAATCAAACATCTACAAATGTTACTTTAAAACAATCTTATCAGAATTCTCAAGGAAAAATCATTTTGCAATCACAAAACAATTCATTTCAAAATAATATGCCAATAAATTCTACTGCTATTAATAATCATAATATACATCAACATAATTATAACATGCAAATGCACAAAATTAGTCAACAAAAAATTCCAAATTCTTATTTTGTTCAACAGAAACCAGTTACAAATATATATACCATGCAAAATCTTCCTGTACAACATTCCTCATTTTCTTCTAATATTAATCAACCAGGAGACCGACAAATTTCTCTATCAAATTCACAATTTATAAATCAACAATATGTTCCACAAAATGTTTTTACATCACAAAAAAATACATTTTATAATGTAAATGTACCAAATTATCCTATACAACAAAATAGAAACTCGACACATATACAGAATATAGTTATGTCTCCTGTAACTCAGCAATATCAAAATCCAAAACATCAACAAAATGTTTATAGTATATCACAAGATATTCAGCCACAAACTATTCCACGACATATATCATCAAATTATAATATACAACAATCTGTACAGCCTATATTTGCAATGAATGTATCATATAATGAACTTAAACATCGAAAAATGCCACAGAAAATATCAATGGAAACTTTACAAAATCATATATCTGAACAAGTATCATCGTCTCAGAAACAGCACAAGAAAACGAAATCTATTTCAAAGAAGAAAGATCTGCAAATTTCATTAGAATCAACAACAAAATTATTCAATGTATTAAAATATATTTCTGATATTCAAAAAATTATATTATTGAAACAAATAGATTTTTATTTTAGTTGTACTACATGGTTACAACAACAATTTACATCAGGACAATGGCAAAAAATTAATTCACAAAGATCTTTATTACTTAATTTTCAAACACTTTTAAAACATCTGATAGAAAAAACTGTAAAAGGTTTTTTACCAGATAAATCTCAAGGAAATATATTTGAAACAAATATACTCAAAAATATTAAAATTGATGTTCCAAAAATGGTACAAATTGTAGTAAATGAAAATGAAGGAATGTATTGTCAGATTGAAGTATCTAAAGCTTTTCAAGAACAAAATAAAATAATGAATATTAAACAAAATTGTGTGACACATCAAGAAAATTTAACACAAAATCAATATGAAAAAGAATATGAAGCAACTAATAATTTACAAAGTAAGGAAGTTTCAAATGAAAAACAAAAATCGGAAATATCACATAAAGAAGTACAAAATAAAACATTTGGAAAGAGAATTCTGATACAGAAAGACAATTCTCCAGTTAAGTCAAGTTTACAAATATGTGAAACATCAGAAATTGTTATTCATCAAGAGAATAAAATCGAAGAAGAATCAAATAATTCCAAAGATACATACAATTTAAATATTAAGGAACAAAATTTAAGAGTACCAGGAAAAATAATCGAAAATATTTCTCAAATAATTGAAGAAAAAACATCAGTATTATCAAATATGAAACTGCCTAACAATGATATTCTGCAATTAAATCAACATTTAGTTACTGTTGAAATATCTTCCAATAATGATCAAGTAACTGTTATTGATACTAATGCTAGTAATGAAAGTAAATCAAAGAATGAAGAATCTACAGAATATGAAGAACTTCAAAATAAACTTCAAAAAGAACTTCATATTTCATCATCATCTTTAGAAAATACAAATTACAATATATTAGCAATATCTTCACCAAAAGTTGTAAATAATATGAAAGATTTTGATAATGAAGATTTGGATAATTCTTCATTGGAAGAAACTATTACATCTCACATTGAAGATATTAGAAGTATTTCATTAGAAACATTTGAAAAGATGGAAGAAACTAATAATATTATAAGTACAACAGATGGAAATATTGAAGAGGAAGAAATTAAAATATGCTTATTTTGTGGAAAACCTAGTACTGTAGCATGTTCCATTTGTTTAGAAGCTAAGTATTGTTCTAAAGAATGTTTCGAACAACATTGGGAAGATCATTATAAAGACTGTACACCTGTAAAAAAAAGAGTATATAATTGAAATTTAGAATAATTATTTTGTTATTTTATTCATCTTTTATAACAAAAAGTATTCAAACTATAACTATAATTTTGTTATATCAAACAAAATATATTGTTAATGTTTTATATTAGACAATAAATATATTAATATACTTTTTTTTTATTAATCAATGTGATAAATTGTTATTGTAAGGAAAGAAAAAAGTAACTAATTTTGTATTTAAGTATATAAAATAAATTTGTATTTCATTGATATGTGAATCATTTTTAGTATGTAATTATATATGACTACGATGTATGATCTTTTGATGTAAATAAAAAAAAAATTCTATTTATTTATTTATTTTATTGCCAAGCATTACAAGTTAAATACATGTAAATACTAAATATTAATTCTTCTAATGTTCTTCTTCATAACCAATTCCAGGTATGTAATTTATTCTAGGATTATGAAACAATGAATGTTTACCATCTCCCCATGGAAAAGGCTATACAAAAAATATTAAATTATAATTAAATTGATTTTTATAATAATTAAATTCATTAGAATTTCATTTTAATGCTTTTAGTTAAAATTTATTTATTTTACCTTATTCATGATTTTTAAATAAGGATAATGAACAAATTTTGGGGGCGGTTTTGAATGTTCTTCTTTATGTTTCAAATAACAATTAGCCATTGTAAGTCCAATTATAGGAAAAGCGATATAAAAAGTGATAAATTTATATAATTTTATAGTACCTAAAATTATATAGTACAATAAGTTTTGCTTACATAACATATATTTTTATCTCTTATTAATATTAAAAATGTTTATATTTATATTAATAAAAATATACGATTGAAAAATATTTTTTTATCAATTATAGTTATAGTGAAATATGGTTTAGAAATGACAAAATAAAATAATAGATAAAAATTGTAGTAAGTATATATATAGTATTGTCGATTTCATATTAGATGATTTTTTATATATTAAGATTTATTATTAATAAAATTTTTTATAATTTACCGTCTGAAACATGATGAATACGTTGTTCTACTGTTTTTACATATTCTTCCATTCCTCGAGTGAAAGTATGGCCAAATTGGCCTACCTTTAATATCTTCGCCATTTTGTAAGTATAGCAGTTACTGCACTACTGACTTTTGTTCATTCGATACTCGCATTACTTTGTACGATTATATAATCGCAGTTTTCAAATGTAATTATTTTATGTTTCTAAAGAGAGATGTCGTTCAATGTTACTGTATGAATAAGATTAATTTTATTTATAGTTGATAAGTCAATATTGTTATGTACAGAATAGATTAAATTTTAAAGTATAAAAGTATAAATAAAAAATATAACAAATATTGATTACAGAATATCTTAATATAGAATTCATAATATAAAGTATGCATTTTATAGAAAAATCATAAATTCGAAAATTAAATATTTATATTTTTTTATGTTAAAGATTTATATATAGATAAGAAGAATAAATAATACGAGAATAGAAATAAAGTAAGAATTAACGGCCAGTGTCATCTTTTGAATAAATTTTTAAATTTTCAAATTAGAATAAAATAAGAATTAAGAATTAGTACCATCTTTTGAGTATCTTTAAAAAAACAATTCTTTAAAAAGATGTTTTTGAAATTCAAAAGATGGCATTGAAGATCAATTCTTAACCTATCTCTATCTTTCTCCTATTATTTATTGTTTTTTCTACATATGTTTCATTTGTGGCATTTTGAAGATGGCGCTGATTTTTATATTTTTATTTTATCTTTTTTCTATTATTTGCTTTTCTTGCTTTCCTATTCTGCGCTCAAGAAATAACACTGACATCTCATTAACTTTATTGTCTTCTTTGCCTAATCTATTGATTAAAAATCTTAACAGAATCCGATCCAATTTTTATATATTGTATGATTTATAACTTAACATATTATTAAAATATTTTTCATAAATATAGATTGTTTACAATATATCCTAGTTATGTACAAAAGATATATATCTAATATAGATATTGTGTGTTATTCATTAAGTCACGTGATATCTTATCCGTTATTTTAATTTCTAATAATTTAAATCATATTAGTACCGAATAGAATATTTCTTTTATCTTTTTCTTTCTTATGTAAATAAAAAAATTAATTTGTTATTACGGTATGTTTTATTAGTAATATAAATACTATTATGTAAAATTATTATAAAATAAATTAAATTATTTATAATTAAATTCTTTTAATATTTTTCCTGCTTTAATGCAATTTATAATTTAAAAATAATTAATATATATTTTAATAATTTAATATAGATAATGACAAGTAAATAGTAAATAATGCATTAATATATAATATTATTTCATTAAAATATTGTTAAAATATTGTTTATTAAACTTGTTTGGATTAAATTATTAATCTTTTATATGCCGAGTATATGTGTTACATATATACATATATAATAATTTATCTTAATTATTTTCTGAAGTAAATAATATATAATTCTAAATTATATTAATATAATTAAATATTAATTTATTTTGATGCTAAATGAGATATGATGCGTTTTATAACGCATTTTATTGTAAATAAATGAACGTGGAAGAAATGATTATTTATTATATACTCATTTAATTAATTAAACAAAATATTAAATGTAATTTAATATCTTTCAGTTCGAATGGGTAATTCTACCTCAAAAAATAATTATCACAATAATCAGAAGTATACTAGTCAGGTATATATCATTTAAAATTGTTATAACCTGTAATTTAAATAATGTATTTAATAAGATAAATTATTATTAATATATTATTATATTTCAATTAATAAAAATTAATAAATATTATAATATATATATATATATATCCACATATATGTTATTCTGCAGTATAGTCTTAGTGATATAATTGGTGGAAGTTGCATTGGATCAACACAATCTTCACAGAAAGAAATTAAATCATGGTCTCATGCTTCTTGCAGAAGGTAACTTTATTGTTTTATGATATATGTAGTTTTAATAATTTATATGTATCTTTTTAATTTTATAGCTGGAGCGAAGGCACATTAAATGACCCATTGGGTACTTCAAAGACATCATGGCCTGTATCACGTACTCAGGCTATGTTTCTTCCAGAATTTCAAATAAAACAAATACCTTTACAACATGCTTATACATTTGTAAGCATAATAGCCAAAGGAGCTTATGGAAAAGTATATAAAATTCAAAAACAAGATACTGGACAATTTTTTGCTTTAAAAATAATTAATAAAGCAAAAGTTGTTGCCGAAAATGGTATAATGCAAGCTAAACAAGAAGTATGTATATTTTAATTGAAAAAATATTTATTTATTTTAAGTAATGATTAAATTTAAATTTATATTTAATGTTATAGGTATCTATACAGAGATTGGTTGGTCACCATCCATTTATATTAGATTGTTCTCATAGATGGCAAGGAAGAAAAACATTGTATATATGTAAGTCTATTGTCATATATATTATTAAATATATATTAATATTATAAAAATGTAATTATTATTAAATTTTTTAATATTTAATGTTCATTTATTTCAGTAACTAATTATATTGGGGGAGGAGAATTATTTTCATTAGTCGAACAATGTGGTTCTTTGCCAGAAAATATAGTTAGAATATATGTAGCAGAAATTGCTTTGGCAATTGGTAAATAAACATTATTTTTAATGATAATTGAATCTAAAATAAAATGTATAATTTTCTTTTTTATTATTTTGTTAAAGATTTTTTGCACAATGCTGGTGTAGTACATAGAGACATAAAAGCTACAAATGTTTTATTAGATGAGGAAGGTCATGCTGTAATTATTGACTTTGGTCTTGCGAAATGGTTAAATCATACAGAAAGAACACATACGCTTTGTGGAACTCCAGAATACATGGGTATGTTGTGTCAAAATATATATAGTATTATATTATAATTTTATAAATATTATTGTAAATATTAAATGATCAATATTTTTTCATTTTATATATTTTATTATAGCACCAGAAATATTCAATAGACAGTATTATGGTCAAGAAGTTGATTGGTGGTCATTGGGAGTATTGGCTTGTTTTATGTTTACATACCAGGTATGAATAACATATATATATATATATATATATATATATATATATATATTTTTTTAAATTAAAATAATTTTTATATTATATTAGGTATACTTTAGAATTAATGTGAACACAAGAAATAATAGAAAGAGTTATGAAACATAGCAACATATATTTGCGAATATAAGTTTTTTTTTTAATCTTTTTTTTTTGTTTTTCCATCTTTCAAAGTTGGTTAGTTTTTAATATAATATATGTATTAATAACGTATTATATTTGAAAATATTAGTATTTGCTATTTATAATTATACGAAAGAAAGAGCCAATCGGTGGACTCCGTGGCGCAACGGTAGCGCGTCTGACTCCAGATCAGAAGGTTGCGTGTTCAAATCACGTCGGGGTCAAGAATTTTTCTTTAGTTTTTTTTTTTCAATGTTTAACAAATAAAATAGAAAAAATAAATTTTATAGATTTATCAATCTAATAAATATTATATAATTTTTTTTTTACTTTTTTATATTTTATTTTTAATTTTTCAATATAATACAAAGAAACAATTATTAATATTATAATAATTTTTATGTAATTTAAAAAGAAATTTTAATAATGAATATTTTCAAATAGAAATCAAATAGATATTTTATTTGAAAGACATATTTAAAAAATTTGAACAAAGTCAATTTTTAAAAAATTTTTAATGACAATTTTTTTATTTAAAATAAATCTTTTAAGTTATTTAATATTAAAATGTATTAATATATCAATTTTTGTTTTTAATTATATCTTTTAAAAAAAAATTACAAATTAATAAATTATAAATAATATTTTAAGAATTATCTTTATATATATAATAATAATAAGTATTTAATTATATTAATAATAATATGAATAAAAATTTAATTTTTATTTGAAAATGAAAAAATAATTCGCCCCCGGGTGGGCTCGAACCACCAACCTTTCGGTTAACAGCCGAACGCGCTAGCCGATTGCGCCACGGAGGCATTCGTTGGTGGATTTCTTTTCGACTCCTTTTTAGTTATTTTGCATTTTTTATATGTGATTTTATTATATGATTTTATTTTGTAATTTTTATTGTTTTTAATATTTTTGTCTTATTATTAACACATTTTAAAAGAAAAGTTATTTTTCATTTTTGCATATTATAGCGTATATATTTAGAAATTATTTTTTCTTATTTTTTTTTAAGTTAAAAACTGTTTTATAACATTCAGAAATATTTTCTTACAAATATTTGAAAGATAATGGAAATTTATTATTCATACATTAAAAAACGTATTATTTAGCAGATTTTTTTTTTCATTTTGAAATTTTTTTATTTCTTAATTTCTTTATTTTAATATAAATTATTAAAAACAATATGTCTACTCGCTACACGAGATATTCCAAATATATTTATACTTTGAATAATTCCATCGAATTAAATATTATCTGGAACATCGCCATATAATAATTCCATATGGAAGCTATTTAAATATGATACTAATTGTTATTATATATATAATTTTTACATTGCATATTTTAAATATATTATCTTTATTTATTGTATTATCTACAATAGATTTCAAGAAAATGAAATGATTTAAAATAGGGATACAATTATTTTGAATCGTGTCCTGCACGCTTTTCATCGATGCTTCTTGCGTAAAAGTATGCAACTGGGACTCGGAAAGAAGAAAGCAAACGAGCGTGTCTCTCGTTGCAAAATCCTTCGTGCCTTGACATTTTCATCGGGTCCACTCACCTCGCGTATCCTCACTGTTTACAAAGCTTATTCTCGGACAAGATAACTTTTCATACGGCCTTTTGATGAATCGACATCCACTGTGTCACAAAGAAATGTCGATGTATTCGGCGCGGTCGTAAGATCATTCGTTAGCCATGACACGGTCAATCACGTGAATGCCTGGTTTTTGTGCAAGTGCATTCATATTCTTAAAGATTTTTTTTTTAGAATCAACAATAATATTATCCTTTAACGAAGATCGTTTAACGAAGATTTTATTATCAGAAAATGATTTATTTTTACCAAATAATTTGATTCGAGATTTTTATTTAAGTCGAGGGATAAAATTCTATTGAGTTTTAACTAGCATGAATGGAATGTGGAAGTTTATGTTTCAGAGTAGTCGGTTTCAGTAGGCGTCTTAATATGTGAGTTATTACTTGAGTCATATATAACACGTTTTAAAAATAGTGGACAATATCTTGAAGCGAAGTCGACGCGATAATCTACTTTGGAATAGTTATACAAAAGATATAAAAAAACATGATCGTGATAATTATAATTTCTAAGCGCATTTGTAATAAAATATTCGAGAGAAAAGTTTGACAATTTCGAATGGTGGAATCGAAATATATATATTTCTCCTGCAAATACAAAAAAAAAAAGTTTTCTTCATTTTCTAGATTTTTCATTTTTCTAACAAAGGAGGGAAAAGATAACTTATCGATGAAATAGCAAGCAAGGATCAATCATTGTCAAAAACTCATTGTCCACAGTAATAATAATAATTATTATTATAACGATGATAGCAATAATACAAATAATAATATTAATAATAATAGCGGTACTGGTACTAAATCGTAATAATAATAATAATATTAATAATAATAATGACACGTATCTCTAAAAAAAAAAAAAAAGAAGACAGAGTCGAGCTACACACTAGTTTTATTGGGATGAGGTTGTGGTTGTGGTTCGTGTGTCGTTTTTTTGAGGGGGGAGGGGGGGAGAAAAAAATAAAGAAAAAGAGATTCTGGTGGGGAAGGGGGGATTTGGGATAAGGATACTAAAATATTAGGGGGCCGATTTCGTCCCCGCGGACAGATCGCGGTGTCCGCCGGGACGAAGGAGAGGATGATCCCTGGCGTGCACCAAGTCAGATCCCAAAGGGTGACCACGCGTTCCTGAGATGTAGATGTTTTCGTTTTTCGTTTCCGCATTCGATCCAAGTTCCCATCATCATCATCGTTGTCGTCATCGTTGTTTTCGGAATCTTGTTCCAACGTGTGATCTTCTAAGTTTCATCCCTCACAGCCAGGTGGCCACGTGGTCATCCTGCCCCGAGTCGATGTGAATCTTCTCTCGGAATCGTAGCGCGCCGGGGGAAGTTTTGGACCCTGCCACAGAATTTGATCGCGCAATCTCTCTCTCCCATTCACACCGATATACACTCTCACTCCGTCTCGTTCTCTCTCTCTCTCTCCCGCTCGCTGCTTTTCTCTACCCGGGGCCGAACAATTCGCGCATTCTTGTTCATCTTTTTTTTTTTTACGTTTATTAATTTTTTTTTTTTTATCTTTTCAAATGTTTTTCGTTTTCCCATTTTTGTCTGGTCGATGGTGGATTCTGAACGCAGTGGTCTGGACGAGTGGCGAGTCAGTGTCCGCTCCGTTCGAGATGTTCGTTCGCTTGAGAATTTTTCAATCGAGGTTATCGTTCTCTCTTCTCCTTCCCGCCTCTCGCTGCGACCGTTACCCTCGCTCCTATCGTTCACTTACACTTTCAGTTCTTGAGGTTTGGGCAGAAGTTCGGGCTTGGACTCGTCGCCAGCCTTGGAGGACTCCTGCTTTGACTCCTCGGAGGATGAGGATTTCTCCTCCTCGCTGCCCTTGCTCTCCTTCTTCTCGGCTGACTTCTCCTCGGAGGAATCGTCCGAGCGCTCCTTCGCTTCCTTCGCGGCGGCTTCCTGCTGTTTCTGCCCTTCCTCCTTCTTTTCCTCGGCTTGCTCGGACTTTGCTTCGGGCTGAGCCTCCGCGGTCTCGCGTTTAGCTTGGCTGGCCTCGGCGGGTTTGGCCGCCGATTGTTCGGAGGATTCTTGAGCGTTGGCGGCGGAACCGGCACCTACCTCGGCGCTCTTCGCTTCCTTCTCCGGTTGAGGAGCGGCGGCAGCAGCGGCAGCCGCGGCGGCAGCAGCAGCCTCGGTCTTCTCCTCGCTCTTCGAGGATGATTCCTCGGAACTGAGGGCGGGTTGCTCGACGGCGGCGGGTTGCTGAGCCTTCTCGCCCTCGACAGCCGGCTTGTTCTCCTCCGCCGCCTTGGCCTGATCCTGTTGGACGGCTGGCTGCTCCGGTTTCTTCTCCTCGGGGGCAGCTTCCTCGGCGTCGCGGGTCACACGGTCGGGTTTCTCCTCGGCCTTCTTCTCCTGTTGCTGCTCCTCCTGTGGCTTCTCGGCCTTCTTCTCCTCGGCGGCCGGCTGAGCGACCTTCTCCTCCGACTCGGAGCTCGACGAGTTAGCTTCATCCTCCTTTCTCACGCTTGGCTTCGCTTCTTCCTTACTCTCCTCCTTCGCTTCAGCTTCTTTCCCAGCCTCCGCGCTCTTCTCAACGGAGTCTACCTGCTCGGAGCTCTTTCCCTCCGCCACAGCTGCTTTCTGTAACACGAACGCGAAGCTTTGCCTTTATACGAGGAATCATCATTAGGAGCAATAACGATAAATTCGAGTACAACGAAATGTTTACAAAGGTGAACGTACACCAACGGGATGTTCCGCCAAGACCTCGGCAACGGGTGCCGCCTGAGGAACGGCTTGCACCACGGTCTCGTGAGACTCGGAGGCGGCCTGCTTCAAGCTCTCCTCTTCCTTCTTTTCTTCTTGCCCCTGCTGCTCCTGTGCCTTCTGCTCTTGCGCGGGCTGCTGCTGTTGACCCTCTTGCTGAGGTTGCTGCTGCTGCTGCTGCTCCTGCTGCGGCTGTTGTGGTTGCTGTTGCTCGGCCACCTTCTCCTGCCCGCCTTCCTCCTTCTTCTCCTCGGGTTTCGCTTGTTGCTGAGCCTCCTCCTTCTTCTCCTCCAGGGCCTTCTCGCCCTGTTGAGGGTTCTCAGCCGAGGGCTCGCTCCTCACGCTCGGTTTCTCGGCCTCGGCCGATTTCGCCTCGGCCGGCGCCGGCTCCGCCGCCTCCTGGCTCGCCGCTGGCGCGGCCTCGGCGTTCATCGGGACATCGGGCTTGCTCGGACTCGCCGATTTCTCGAGCGGCACCACTTGGAGGGGCTCCTGGTTCTCGGCCACCGGCATCGAGAGCACCGCCTTCTGGCTCAACAGGCACACCATCGCTAATACGAGTAGCTTCGTCATCTTGATATCTGCGGAAGAGAGAGCAAGGGGACTCGGTTTAGATTTAACGTTGTGCAAATTGCTCTTATAACCGGTGATAAGATATCCTATGCTGGGACGAATCTTATCGCGTTGTCTCTCTCTTGTCAAACTCACGAGACACGGTAGAGAAGAAATACATCGCCCGACACGATACGATAAGAGCGTTCTAGCCGAGCAGTGTACCGTAGTGGAGAGAGGAAACGAGGCACGTTTCTCGTAATCTTCCAGTTAGAGGAGCGGACGTGAGTAAGTAAGTAGAGACGAGTTTCTCTTTCGCGCTTGGCGTGAATGGAGAACGTGAATGGGCCACCGATGGACGAAAAGCAGAGCGTAGAACAGCTTTTAAAATGGAAGCAGAGAGACAGAGAGAGAGAGAGAGAGACGAGCGGAATGGGAATTGGAGGATGGACAAGGGGCTGGCGGAGGAACCGGCAGGAAGGAGAGGGACGGAGGTGACATTGAACCGAATGCATTGAACAAGGCAAGCGTTATGGAACTAATGACAGGATGCGTGCCCCTCGTTACGCGCTCGCGTACTCGCGCCACTTCTCCAACCACGGACGCGCGTCTCGTTCTTCGTTCCCCGTCACGTTTTCCTCGCGAATTCGTGACGACGAATCGGTGGACGCGTGTCGCGTTCGCGCCTTACCCACCGGATGCTGACAATACCCGAGAGAGATTTAATCGTGGTTCCTCCACCACCAGGTGGAGAACGATCGTCGTTACGTCGTTGCATTTTTTCTCTTTTCGCCTGAGAGAGATCGCTCGATGCATTATTAATCCGTTCCCTTAATTAATTTTGAAATAAAAGTGAAATTAGGTTAGGCGTTAATTAAACTAACGCAACGTGGACGTTGCGCGCGCAACCGAAAGCGAAACATGGGTGGAACTTCCGCGATAGGCGGAAACGGATGAAGAGAGGACATTGTTCGGAAATTGGGTGGAAATCGGACTCGTTGCGACGATCAAGATATTATTCCTCGAACTAGAAAAAAAAAAAGAAAAATACACGATTAATAATGCTCTCACGACGAGAACAATAACGAGAATAATACGAAAACTTCTTGATTTTTGGAGCTCGAGTTTTTTTTTTTTGTCTTTGTTTTATCCCTAAAAACAAATGAACGTGCAATCGGTGAACACGAGAGCACGAATAACGGAACCGATTCTATTCTAATTATAAATTGTCGCGTCCACTATTACGAGGCTCGTCGTCGCGTAAATCGATTCCGCTGCGCACATCGGTATCGTATGCGCGTTACGTTCCCTATTGCCAGGCATCGAGGTAATACACGTGAGAGCGGGCAAAGTCTTGAAACCGGAGACAATCGTCGCGGTGTCGCGTGGACGCGACGATTTTCTTTGCAACAGACGTTTGCGTTAATCCATGCATTTAAGCCGATGCAAAATATTCAACGACGACGAACATATCCATCGACGACGATACGTATATACGCAACGATACTTTTTCGTTCGGATCAATAATCCACAGTTCGCGACGTTTCTCTTTCTCGCGCACCGCGTAAATTTCAACTGTCATTTCAACCGTATTTTTTTCTTTCTCTCTCTCTCTCTCTCTCTCTCTCTCTTGCCTCGATCGAGCGAAACGAGCTGACGAAATTGACACGCGTGCGTACCGGTCTGAAACTGGTTCGTGGTATGAAAAAAAAAAGAAAAAAAAAAAAAAAGAAAGAAAAGAAAAGAAAGAAAAAGAAAAAAAAGAAAATAAAAGAAAAAAAAAATCACTATATCGGCATTCTTTCGATTTCACGCGGCACCGTCGTACGACCTTCCGTTCGGAGCTTGCGGCCAATCAAGCGGGTAATTTATACATAGAGGAAGCTGTTCCCGTTGCGCGTACGTCGAAGAGAGAGACGAGATGGTTCGCGAACGTTCCATCGTAAAAATCGAAACTGATTGAAACAATGGGTAGGGAAGAAGGTGATGGTGGACCAAAGAAGCAGAGGGAAGAAGAGGCGGCCAGGGACGATTTTGACGAGGAGGAAAGAGCGGAATAGGCCGCGAAACGTATATCTGGAAACGGCACGCCTTCTGGAGGAGAGCGTGGAATGCGCATCGAGAAGGTGAACGGTTCGGAGAGGGAAAAAATAGCGAGGGATAAAGAGGGAAAAACTGGGCGACAGCCTGGTGGTGATCGGGCGAGGAAAGAGGAAAGAGGTTGAAACGGTCCAGTTTTTACGATGGAATGGGCTCGCGTTCGCCAATTGGAGACGGGAGGTGAACCGTGTTCCGTTGCTCGTTACGCTTGCTCCCGCTAACTTTGTGTACACGAGAGATCGGCACGGTCGATGAAATGATTTATCCGAATTCTCTGTTGACGCGAACACAAATTTCGCGTATATGTATAAATAATTGATGATGCGCTCAAGTCTAACGTGAACGCGAAATGTTTAAAAAAAAAAAAAAAAAAAGAGAAGAACACTTTTGGAATTCGTAAATAAAAGATAAATTGGTAAATTTTTATTCAGAGAAAGACGTAAGATTAAGTTGAAGCGTACGGCGGGAAACGTGGTGAACGACACGAGGTGAACGTTCGAGGGGACCTGTTGAAGACGAGAAACGAAATTAAGGGACAAGTATACATTAGCGAGTCGTATAATCGACATTAATAACAATCGTCCAGGCCTGATCGTGTTGCAAGCGGACGTAATGGGCCGCAATAAAGTTAATTGCAAATTACTTTGCGAGTCACGAGCGTGTAGGTAACCGTCCCCGCGTATATATACACGCGTGCGTATATACGTAAGTACACGCGTATACCTCTCGAGTCGTTGTTGTTGCGCGTTTCGGTTAATTGCAACGTTGGTCAACCTCGAAACGAGTACGGGGAAGATGTAATACGAGGAAGATGATTGTGGAGGGGGCAGAGGTAGGGAAGGGAGGATTCCCCGCGGAAGGGCCTCCCGAGGAGGAAAATTAAAATGACGATATCATGTTTGCGAGGGATGGAAACACGACGGACGAGGGATAGGAACGACACCGGAGAGGAAATGCCTGTGAAAGATGATGGACACCCATTACCTTATCAAGATCATCAGAGATGTAATAATGGTACACCACCGCTTACAAAAGAAGACGCTGCCACCGTCCATTGAAGTGGTTCACCGCTTCAATGCTTTCTGCTCCCTTCTCTCTTTCTCTCGCTCTCTCTCGCTCTCTCTCTCTCTCTCTCTCGCTCTCGCTCTCTCTCGTTCTTTCTCTCTTTCTTTCTCCCTTCCTCCCTCTTTCCTCTCAAAGTGTCCACTCTGCGCAACGCGCCGCGGCATTTATTATTATCGGCTCTATCCTTTTCGCGATTGTCGATCTAATCTGCGCGCATTGAATCTCAACTGGGCTCGAGGAATATATAGAATGCGTCGCAGTTAACGCGATCGACCAGGAATGCCGATTGTTGCCGCTAATCGGCTTTGAAAAGAGGGGTCCCGCTGCCATTTCTCGTCTGTCGTTCCAATTATCATTTTATTTTATCGTTCTAATCTCGTTAACTCTCCCAACTCTGCACGATCCCGGCTTCTTGTTATGAAAACAAGCTCGTATCAACGGGAAAAATGTTTTGAAAGGATCAATTGATGGATAATCGTTTTCAATATAACTAAGTGAAGAATGAGAAATTGAATTCTTTCCCAAAAATTCGAATCCAACGGGTGGAGAAAAATTAGAATTTTTTTTTTTTCAAAAGAAGATTTAGATTTAGATTATCCACTTACGAGATTAGATTGCGAAAGATCATCACTTTTTTTTTTTACTATGATCATCTACGCGACTCGTTTTTCCAACGATTCTAAAAGAAAAAAAAAAGGACAACAAACTCGAAAAATTAAATTATATAAACGTTGACTCGTTACTGGGAACGTTCCTTTCTGTATACTTTCGATGTACGCGACACGAAAGAGATCTACCGTATATATATATATGTATACATGTATATATACATGTATATATACATGTATATATATATATATATATATATATATATATATGAGGTTGTAAAAAAATTTTTCACGCGGTTAAATCGATTAGAGACGGGAGCGAAAGAGGAGGAGACGAGACGGGGACGATGCTCGATCGAAAAGGAAAGAAGATCCCTATGAAAACGGAGGATCCTCGGTTGGCTTGCGTGTGTCGCAGTGTCTCTCCGCTTAGATTAAAGCGGATTAGCGACGAGTTAATTAACGGCGAGGAAATGTTGGCGGGTGTTAAGGGGCCATGGAAAAAAAAAAAAAGAAGGATACAGAGGTTGCGAGAGGAGGAGAAGAAAGAGAAATTGCATAAACCCGCGGTCATTGCGAAATATACGCAAATTGTATACGTTCCGACGATTATTCCATTTAACGTTTTCCTTAGGTTTAATCACCGACGCGGGTTCGAAGACAGCCATTTCGCGATTCCACGTAATCGAGCTACCTGTGCGTGCACCACGTTCGTTGACATTCCGAATCTCTCGAACGTCTCTCTAAATATCGCCGAAATGAAAGGAAAAGAGAAAGGAAAGAAAAAAAAAGAAAAAAAAAAATTGAAAAATTTCCCTTCCAATTTTTTCCCGTTTCGATTAATTAAATTTCGATTTCTTTCAAAGCTTCGGGATATTTGTTTGTTGTCTATGAAAAGAAAGGGATAATAAGAGAGGGAAAGGAGAAAGAAAAAGATAAAAGATAAAAGAATACACACGCGACGACGTGTCACGAAAAATTTTCGAGAAAAAGGATCGCGAAAATCGAGGCGGGGGTAGGGGGAGGGGGAAGGGGGGAAGGAAGAAAAATTGTACGCCGGACGACGTACAGAGACGAGTTACAACTACGGATATTGCGTATTACGATTCTACTCACGTCTTTTTCTCTCCTCCGTGGAACTGGTCGGAACGGCTTCCGTCTCTTGGTCGTCGACTTGGTTCGTCCGGCTTAGACTCTTCCTGGATGGCTTCTTCTCCGTGGAGGCCTCTCGGGCAGGCAGGAATTTACTCTCTCACCGATCAAAAAATTGCTCGTTCGGAAATTAAAAAAAAAAAAAAGGAGACCGGTTTTCGGTTTTCAGAGAACTCTTGATCGCACCGTGTAGCTTCGCGGAATCGAAATGAATTGAATTTGAGGTCCGCTCTGAACAGGGCAGATTAAAAAATAGGATGCTCGTGTGTATCGGAGACAAACGAGAGATGCCGCGAGAAGTAAGTTGCTCTCCTCTCTCTCTCTCTCTCTCTCTTTCTCTCTTTCTCTCTCTTTCTCTCTCTCTATCTCTCCCTCTTTCTCTTTCTCTTCTTTTTCGCGCGCGTGCGATTACGCTCGTTCGCTCGAGAGGAAACCGTTCGGTGATATCGGGATGAAGGTTGGGTCGTGTGTCGAGATGGAATCGTCGGGGCCCCGCTTATATACCCATTTACCCACCAGCGGCACCACGGCCAGGATCGTATAAGGGGGCCCCCGACCCTCTTCACCCGCCCCTCCTACCACGGGCCCCTCTTTTACTCTTCTCTTCTCTTCCCTCTTCCGTCGTTTCTTCTTTCCTCCACACCTCGTGCTACCTACCTCCCCCGACCTGCCCTCCCTTCCACCATCTCCCTCCCTCCCTCGCCTCTTCTCCATCCTTAGCCACCTTAGTCTCTCTTTCCCTCTCCTTCTCTCTCTCTCTCTTCTCTCTCTCTCTCTCTCTCTCTCTCTCCTCTCTCTCTCTCTCTGCGCTCCATCGGACGTGATTCGAGACGCGTGCTCTCGATCCTTGTCCCTCGACCTGGGCCACGATCAACCGGGACGCTGCGCGCCGATATATTCCTCTCTGCACAACCCGCGAGCCCAACTGCCGGCCTCCACGAGCAAAACGAACCGGGGAGAGAGAAGGAGAGAGGGAGGGAGGAGGAGGGGGAGCGATTCTCGCCGACAGATTTTCAAGTATCGAATCGGATAGGTGGCTCGCGGTGGCTCTCTCGAGACCCGCGGCTGACACGCTCTATTCGCCTCGAGAGAATCCGCGCATTCGAGATTCGGATCCTCGATCCTCGATCCATTGCCTTCGGGATCATCTTTCGTTTCGAGAACGTTCTATCTTTTTTTCTTTTTTCTTTTTTTTTTTTTCGTCACGTTTTGATATCTCGTCGAGGTATATATTCATCTCGAAGTTATATTTTGCAAGTTCTTCGACGATTCCGCGTTTCTCTTCATAGAAGAGAAATTTTGGTGATAAGGAGAAGGAGTGGATAAAATGATTATTCGGGGAGAGAGGGGATATATGTTTGATTTTAGGGGATGGATAGAGGATGGACGGTGAAATTCGGAAAGGGAAGGGGGGGAAAAGAAAAGAAAAAGAAAAAAAAGAAAAAGAAAAGGTTTTCGAGGAAAAAAACGTCGAGTCGAGATTGTATTATAACGTGTGCATGTTGGAACTCTGGCGAGTGGGCGAAAACGTGTTAACTCGTCTTTTGTGAGATACGTTCGCGGAGTGAACGTTCGTTCGTTCGTTCGTTCGTTCGTTCGTTCGTTCGTTCGTTCGTTCGTTCTTTCGTTCTTTCGTTCGTATGTACCTTTGTCGGGCCACGACACGTTTTCGTTTCGCGAGGCCGTTCGTGTTTCTCGCTCGAGTATATTGGTGGTATATTGCTCCTCGTTTCGAGTTTCGTTTCTTTCAACGGGCTCTTCAATTGGTTAGTTCGGGGAAAAAAGAAGGAAAAAAAAAAAAAAAAAGAAGAAGAAGAAGAAAAAAAAGAGGATTCTTTAAAAAGAAAAAAGAAGTAATAATTTGTCATTTAAGAATCATTCCACTCGTCGTATATTTTTTTTTTTATTGGCTAGTCCGAAGAAAATAATTGTCATTTACAATGATGGTTTTGTTTTTCTTTCTTCTTCTTCTTCTTTATACGATATATTGGTTAAAAGAGAAGAAGAAACGTTTACGACGTACGAGAATTTACGAGAATTTCATTATAAATGATAATTCGAAAAATGATAGCAATTTTGATTCGCTCATACGTTTCATTAGAAATTAATTAAATTCCACGTCGTGATTTATCTTTTTCATCGATCGATGCACGAAAAGTATGCATATGTAATTTCGGACAGGGAGGGGAGGGAGGGAAGGAGGGAGGAGAACAATTTATATCTCGAAAATTATAATGATATCGTCGTTAATTTTCGTATATTTTCCAATAATAATTTCTTCTCGTTCGATTATCCGTTTTATCTCGTTCGAATCTCGTTCTGACGTATAACGACGATTGATCTTCCTTCCCTTCCTCTTTCATCGCGCGCGCTATCAATCTCTGTCCAACCGTTTATGCGGACGTCGAATCTCGAGCGATTTGAATTTCGTTTCTCTCGTTGACATTCGACGCAGTGTTCCGTGACGCACCTGAACGTTTCGTCGCGGCTCATTTTTCCTTTGTCGCGGGACAGGACGATGTTTTAAAAGCAATTCGTTCGGCGTGATTCAGTATCGGGCGGAAGTGCAGCGGTGGAACGGTGGCTGCCTCTTGATAAACGTGAAAAGGACCTTGATGTTTGACCGCGATAGAAATATTAGGACGCGTTGATTACCTCGTAGAACGATCTTTTTCACTTCCTCTTTTGTCGTCACTGTGTTTCGTATATATATATGATTTCTTTTTTAATAATTAATTGTTAATTTATTGGCACTTATAATTTGTATTTTCAAAAATTTTCTCTGTATAGAGAATATTTTCTTTTCGATTTATTAATCGTTTATGTCGAGTTTGTTATATATTATGTATAGAGTATAATAATTGTAAATGACGAAATTTGAATTGTGATTAATTGGTTAACTTGGTAATAATGGAATAATCGTTTCCTTAATCGCGCCAACGATATCTCTCTCTCTCTCTCTCTTTTTTTTTTGCGAAATTAATCGATAAATATAATTTATCATACTTGTTTCGAAATAAAATTCGAAAGTCGATTTAAATTTCTGTTCGCATGTATAATGTACCCTCTAAAATGTCGCAAATTTCTTAATCCTTCGTTTAAATTTGATCAATTATTATTTCTCGATTCTCGATCGAGAGAAGAGTGTGAGATCGTCGCGAGAAGAAAATAAAAAAAAAAAAAAAAAATAATAAAAAGAAAGATATAAAATAGGTGGCCAGAAACGTCCGGTGTCAAAATGAATAATGCTTCGCTTGTCGGCCATTGGGCAGAAACAAGATCTTTTGTAGTTCTCTCGACTCTTTCTTCGATCAGCTTTTACGTTCGTTACGTAAAATCCTTTTATCGTATTATCTCTGAACGAAGAATTATCGTTGACTCGACACCTAAGAGCGCGCCCATTCAATCCACGAAATTTCGGAGGGAAACGAGTTTCGTGTGTTTTTTTTCACACCTCAGAATTCTCTCGTCTCTCAATGAGTCGCGAACGAGTCGTCTCGCACGTGTCCGACATATTCAAGTGGACGAAAAGTACAACTTTCTTGGAGCTTGTTTGCGCGACGGAAGTACGTGCGGAATTTGTAACAGACCTTAACTAGTTCTAATTTGTCCGTTGTTGGCGTCAGGTTATGGGCTTGTCGCAAAAAGTGTTGAAAAATGGTTTTTACGATCTTTGTACGGCTGATTCATCTCTGTGTCGATTACGAGGAAAGAAGGTTTATAATATACATATATATATATATATATATAAAATATAACGTAACATTGAAAGTATTGAAATTTTTTTATTTCCGTTGCACGAAGAAAAATTCTGGAAAAGGAATAAATAATCTTTTGCGAAGAATTGAATCTGTTTTTAAATTTGACACAAAGGATAAATTCTTGAGAGGTATATTATGTGTGTACAGGTATTTACAAAGCATCGAATAAAAGTGGTATTCAGTTTCGTAATTTTTAATTTGTTTTGCGATTTTTAGTACTATCAGGATGGACGAGAGAGATTGGAAGTGTTTAGGATTGGAAATGACTTTGACACGTATGTACAAGATTTTCAGTGATAATGATCTAATGAGTCATTTACAGAGTTATGTGTGAATATTTTTATTCCAATCCTCATTGTTTTGCTTCTCGAAATAATTTTATTCGATGAAAAGTATCGTTGCATTTTTGAACATTCTCGAATCATTTTACAAATTCCTGAAAACGTAAAAATATCCTCAATATCCTCTATAATAATTTTTAAAACGTACTTTCTAATCCGACTCGACTTAAAATATGAAGGATAGCATAGAGCTAAGAAAATCTTCTTTCAATTCTTCCAACGGTAACCAATATCTCATCCATCAAATATTCGTCTCGATCGTCTCAGAAATCACAAATCCTCTTTTATACCAATTTGAAACAAATATTTCATCCAAATTTTATTCGTCTGCAATCGTTATTTCGAATTAACATCGATCTTAAATCTACCTAAATCATTCTCGATCCGATTGTCTCATCCATCAAATATTCGTCTAATAAGTCTTAGAAATCACAAATCCTCTCTTACACCAATTTGAAACGAATATCTCATCCAAATTTTATTCGTCTCCAATCGTTATCTCGATCACTTTCGAATCAACATCGATCTTAAATCTACCTAAATCGTTCTCGATCTGATTCTCACGTCTCTCATCCATCAAATATTCGTCTCGATCGTCTCAGAAATCACAAATCCTCTCTTACACCAATTTGAATATCTCATCCAAATTTTATTCATCTGAAATCGTTATTTCGATCACCTTCGAATCAACATCGATCTTAAATCTACCTAAATTATTCTTGATCCGATCTCATCCATCAAATATTCGTCTAATAAGTCTTAGAAATCACAAATCCTCTCTTACACCAATTTGAAACGAATATCTCATCCAAATTTTATTCGTCTCCAATCGTTATCTCGATCACTTTCGAATCAACATCGATCTTAAATCTACCTAAATCGTTCTCGATCCGATTCTCACGTCTCTCATTCATCAAATATTCGTCTCGATCGTCTCAGAAATCACAAATCCTCTTTTACACCAATTTGAATATCTCATCTAAATTTTATTCTTCAATCGTTATTTCGATCACCTTCGAATTAAATAATCGATCTTAAATCTAAATCGTTCTCGATCCGATTGTCTCATCCATCAAATATTCGTCTCGATCGTCTCAGAAATCACAAATCCTCTCTTACACCAATTTGAATATCTCATCCAAATTTTATTCATCTGAAATCGTTATTTCGATCACCTTCGAATCAACATCGATCTTAAATCTACCTAAATTATTCTTGATCCGATCTCATCCATCAAATATTCGTCTAATAAGTCTTAGAAATCACAAATCCTCTCTTACACCAATTTGAAACGAATATTTCATCTAAATTTTATTCGTCTGCAATCGTTATCTCGATCACTTTCGAATCAACATCGATCTTAAATCTACCTAAATCGTTC